TATTATTGCGTCTCATTATTTATTTCAAGTTTTATTCATCCCTTAAAGCAACAAATACACAAACTACGCATGTTGTGTTAAATAATTTTTGCCATGTCACGTGGTATAATGTTGACTAGAGTATAAAGTTGGGAATGTTGGTAAGACATAATTAATCGACGTAGCGCGTTAGAATCATAGGACAAGGGAAGGGACAGAAGGGAGCGCGATTAATTATACTGTTGACAACGTCAGAGCAGACTCGTCTACGTAGAGGACCAACATCACTGCATTGCCGTGTACGTAGGGCCATTCCCACGCCTACGTCATGCCCTCATTCTCTACGCATGTGCCGGCAGAGGGGAGGGGGAGCAGCTTTCATCTTAATATTTGCCCCATTTCCGCGGCACGTAGCGTTGCAAAGTTTGGCAGACGTGATCATGAACGCCTCGTCTACCCATTGCGCTTGTCAGCTCAAAATTGTCGAACCTGGTGAGTGGCCCTTTAAAGCCCAAACTCCATAAGCGCGAAAATGCACGCGACAGCGACGAGCGACGCGACGTAGATCGGCGTCGCGCGATCAGTAGCTAGCGCAGGCAAACCTCATTCACGCGACGGCTTCGGCGAGCGAATTCCACTGTTGCTGGCATGAGGCCGTCAACTCGCACCAAGAAAACCGCGTAGCGAGCGGTTTCCAATTAAAAAATAAGATATATTGTTGTGTAATAGAACGGAAAGTGTTTATTATTGCCTTGCAGCATTTTTTATATGCGCGTGCGTAATAAACATTCCGTTATTTCTTGTTGCGCATACGTGACTCGGGCAGGGTCACGTGCACCTATGTAGTCTTCGCCTTTTCCGGTTTTTCGCTACTGGCTGCTTGAGCCCAGCACTTCCGGGCGATGAGCGACGGTTTCCAAATCTGGAGAACCGAGCGATCGCGCGAAAACGAGCACGCGACACGTCGCGCGAACGCCCTGTTTCGTCGCTCATAGCGTCGCTCGTCGCTGTCGCGTGCATTTTCGCGCTTATGGAGTTTGGGCTTAAGTCTATGGGTGTGTTCCAATACTCACCGTAGACGGCTAATAGACAGATAAATGGACGGTGGCTTTCTTAAGTCCCATTCCACTTCTCACGTAGCTTGCCACATAGAAAGCTCCGAGAATACCGCGTCGTAGACAGATACAATGCAGGCTACTTTGCTGTCTAAACAAGATGGCGGCTCAGCGAATAGCTCCACGGAGGAATAGCTCAGATCACGGAGGAAGGAAAGATAGGAGAGGGCATGCCCAGCCGGCACGCTACGTAAAAAGTGTCGCGGAAATGATATCATGGCGGCCATATTCACTGGGCACAATGGCGGCGTTGCTATGGTTACGTGTTGCACAGTGGAGCTGGTCTAACAGTGAGCGGCCACGGCTGGCGGCAGCATGAGTGCCTCCCCAGGTCTCGTGCTGAGCCGTGGCGGACAATATCCGTGCTCTGCGCAACGTTATTGGTTATGTAGCGTTCTCTTGGCAGTTACTGTACTCTTAGCAACGTTTACAAATAATTTTGTCCATCACGGGGTTTCAACAGTGCGTAGAACGAGTGCATACCCATGTGTAGTGCGGCCGATGACGCGGATGAAGCAGTAAGTGCTCAGCGAAATTGCATTGGGCACCATGACGAAGTGTAACGACGACGAACGCCTTGCAGGTCAGTAACGGTTGGGCAGTGCTCCTGCTTGTGACAACGGACGACCCTGTTGAGCCCAGCAAGATGCAATGAGGACCATGTGCACATACGTAGTTTCGTGTTGTGTGTATACAGTAACAACTTGCTTGTGCGTATTAAAACACCTTTTCTGTACCGCTTCCGCACCCCCCCCCCCCCCCCATTGCAAGTAATCTCAACGTAACGGCAACCGCGTTTAAGTGTCATTTGCACCGTGCTCAAAGTCATCACGGTCGCAGAATGCTGACACCGGTGAGTTTCACGCGGAACCCGGACATAGTGACCGGACGCTGCGTCGGCCGCGTGACGGAATGCAAGCGTAGAAGGCGCACGACCGATCGTGTTGTCTGTACTGTTGCTGAAATAATGACGTGAAAACACTTGCCGTTTTCAGTGCACCTAGAGCGCGTTCTCTTGTACTTGCTTTGTTGTCGGTGAGCTTTTACTCGCTGGTAATACTCGGACGAGATGATTTCGCTGAAGGTGTCGCGCTGGCCCAGAGTGTTGAGCTCCGTTCCCTTAGCTTCGGATCGTCACGACACGCGCGCTGCGCAGCTCACGTGCTTTCCGAGCCGGAGATTTGATTGATTGATTGATTTGTGGGGTTTAACGTCCCAAAACCACCATATGATTATGAGAGACGCCGTAGTGGAGGGCTCCGGAAAGTTTTGACCACCTGGGGTTCTTTAAGGTGCGCCCAAATCTGAGCACACGGGCCTACAACATTTCCGCCTCCATCGGAAATGCAGCCGCCGCAGCCGGGAATCGAACCCGCGACCTGCGGGTCAGCAGCCGAGTACCTTAGCCACTAGACCATCGCGGCGGGGCAGCCGGAGAGAGAGTCGTGCCTTGTGTTTTACATTCGGATGTAAATAAGGGAGGAGGATTTGCCCAGTCAATATGGCCGGCCTCCGGCTTCATCGCGACTTCACAATGAGTGACGTCAGGACCTCTCCTACCTTTCCTTCATCCGTGCTCAGATAGATTACATCTCACCGGAATATTCGTCTGCACACAAGCAGATGCTTTCCCAGACGCTCAATGTGAGTAACGTTTATTTTGTTTTTTTTTTAATTCAACACGAATTAAGCCAGAAATTCCAACTGTAAGTTTGTTTATTTTAGCTTTTTTTTTCTCGACGCGAGGTTGCGCATCGTCACGTAAAAGCCGTCTAAATGTGTTCTATTTCTCGGACAGCATGGACTCGATGCTGTCTTCTAAGCAATCTTCGTAGACTGTCTACGTGCTGTCTAAGAATTGGAACACAGCCTATTTTGCCCTCCCTGTCTCCAAACCCGAGTGCTAGGGGGATTCTAGCCACTCAACCAGTGCTTTCATGGAGTTTCCTAATAAACTCTATGAGTGCTTCGAAACCCGTGTTCGAAACACTCGGCGCCATCATCTTGAACTATTACTGCCCATGCTAAGGTGGCGCCATCTCGCTGTTGTCGATACCAACTGCGGCAGTCACCGCTTCTTCCCGAATAGTACACTAGAACGCGGCTAAGATTTTTAATTCAGGATGTATAAAAAAACCGTAAGAGTACTTACCACATCGTTTCTCATAAAAAATAGAAAATATTTTTGTATTGCTTTTACCAATAATACAAGGGCGATGACTGAGTGAGTTTGAGTATTGTAAGCAGCAGCCCACTGGCATTGATTGCGTTTCTGTCAGCTAATTTGTTCAAATTGTACCGCGATTAGCCACGGTACTTTTTGTCGGTCGGCATTGCGAAGTTCCGTTTTAATTCAGCTTCGATATATCAATGTGAGCTTCTGTGTCAGACTTTACGGGGCAAGGTTTTGTTTGGCGTTGCATAAGTTGTTGCCAGACATGGAGGGTTAGTGTTGCCAGATTGCTCCCCAATTTGGCAGAGAAATTCGCCCTTGTAGTTGTGGCTTCTTCGTGAGAGCTTGAAGTCGTCCACGGTGCATTTTGCGAGTGCATGAGCGACGCTGGCCGTTTTAATTAACGGAATGAACCACGCCTTTCAGACGTTGGGGCGTGTTCTCTTGCTGTGTGCGCTTCTGTGCAATTAAGAGATTGTGTCTCAGAGTTAGCGAATCAACGACGCGGCGTCCGCCGTGCATTTCGCGAAGCGATGAACTCGTTCGCGGGTGTGTGTGCGACGTAATTAACGCAATGAACCGCGCCTTACAGAAATCGGGGCGCGTTCTCTTACTCTGTGCAATGAAGAGATCGCGTCTCAGTATTAGGGACGACGGGCAAGAACTGAATAGAGTCGCAAACAGGCGGTGCGCCCCCCCCCCCCTTTTTTTTTTCTTCACAGCTGATCGTGTCGCGTAGACCGCGCGCCATGACGGGGACGCTACGCTTCCGCTAGCTGTGTCAGCACCAGACATATCGTTCGGACTTGTGCACATGTTACGAATAAACGTCCCAAGGCTGGCTAATCGGAGTACGTCGGATATGCTACAGCTATATACGCCTGGAAGGCTGCGTACCTGTATAAATAGGACCCCGCCGACGAACCACCTACACTTGCAGGGCCCCACCCAAAGTAAGCACAAACGACCGAAATTCCAAATAATGAATGCTTATGCGGGGTCCCATTTAGAGATACGCGCGAGTCACGCTTAATTCGCTCCAACTGCGTCGATAAAGCAGCCTTCCAGGCGTATACAGCTGTAACATATCCGACGTACCCCGATTAGCCAGCCTTGGGCCGTTTATTCGTCACATGTGCACGAGTCCGGACGATATGTCTTGTGCTGACACAGCTAGGGGAAGCGTAGCGTCCCCGTCGAAACGCGCGGTCGACGAGGCACGATCAGCTGTGAAAAAAAAAGAAGTGGGGGGAGCAGCGCACCACCTGCTGCGACTCTATTCGGTTTCCCCGTCTTCCCTAATACTGAGACGCGATCTCTTAATTGCACAGCTGCGCACACAGCAAGAGAACGCGCCCCGACTTCTGTAACGCGCGGCTCATTGCGTTAATTACGTCGCACGCACACTCGCGAACAAGTTCATCGCACTCGCGAAATGCACGGCGGACGACGCGTCGTTGATTCCTTAATTCTGAGACACGATCTCTTAATTGCACAGCAGCGCACACAGCAAGAGAACGCGCCCCGACTTCTGGAACGATCGTTTTACGGTAATTTTGTTAATTAAAACGGCCAACGTAGCTCACGCACTCGCGAAATGCACCACGGACGACACTAAACTCTCACGAAGAAGCCACAACTACAGGGGCAAATTTTTCCGCTAGAATCGGCGGCAGTCTAGCAACAACCACCCTAAAGTCCGGCAACTGATTTATGCAACGCCAAACATAACCTTGCCCTTTACGGGCCGCTACGACGAAGCGAACGTGTCTAAAGACTGTGAACAATGTCAGCTGCTATGCTTCACAGATGTCCGCTTGTGCAGCCTCCAGCGTGAAAATTCAACGCCGGCAAATCGCTCGGAGGCTGCCTACAACGACAGAATAATCATGCACAATGTGGGCGTATTCGCCGGTGAGTGAAAATGCGCTGCTTTGCATCTAAACATGGCCTTTATTCTTTTGCATGCGCTACAGTTTTTGTCATTTCATAAGGCTTTTCGACTTGTACAGTTAATGAGATGTACACTTTGTAAATGTTTGAGATTGTTTACTTCGTTATCACATTCACTGAGAATATCTTTACTGCTAATATTTGTAGCACAGATCACAGCATAAGTTATACCCTTCCACTCAAAGTAAGTCTGCTGCAATATATGCACATAAATTCAATGCATAGTAGAGCCAAGTGAACGTTCAGTACATATACGCATTAGTACGTTTTTCGTAGGTTTACAATGAAGCATATTACATTTGTATGAACCATATAGTCCACCCAGTTGGGGAATCACCTAGCTTTGTCCTCTGAAGAACGTCACTAAAACAAATTCATTATAATGCCATCCACAAGACAAATTCACAAAAATAGCCATGTTATGTCTACACTACTTTTCATATATGCAGTGTTCCCATACAATTTCTTCTTAGTCATGCATCACAAATCCGTTCACGTTTCTACCAGAGTAACAAGGACTGTTTTTCTTTTCTTACAACCCAACTGCAGCCTTTAAAAAACTGCTCATATCAGCACACGCTTGGATGCCCCATCACTCTGAACCTACCTCAAGTCAACGGAGAATCTGTCATCAGTGAAAGCAAGCTAATGGGTTAAAATCTTTGCAAGGTAAGGTTGAAGACACTTTATTAAACATATTTTGTTCAACCATTTCTGTCTTACCCTGCTCATGACTTTTTTTTTTTCTTCTCAGAAAACTGGACTAAAGAGAGACGATTGATTCCCAAGCTACCCAAATCCAGTCGTAAGAAGCTCAACAGTTGCCATAATGACAACCCTAGGCCCCATCAATATACCAGGTAGACAAATGCAAGCCTTACACTGAAAATCAGTGATAGTGTATGGCATGTTCAAGCTGTACGGAATAGGGAGCACAGATTGTTGTTGCTTGCTCTATTAATTAATCTGTTTACAGGAAATGTGCAGGCTTTAAATTGCTTGGACAGTGCATGTTATAAGGTGCAAATACTGTACTTTACTCTCCGTGTCAAACTTTGCATAGAGTATCACATATAACTAGGTAAAAAATGGACTTGTAGTAGTGCATATTTAGCAGCACTTCTTTTTCACATTGTGTATAGATTGCTGTGAACTTAAGTACTCTTGCAAGACAGTGGTAGGTACAGCTATAGTAGTGTTGAAACAAAGTTACTGATATTGTGTGCATGTTGGGAGTGACATTGTCAAAGTTATAAAAAAAAGAAACTGTGCAAGAACTCGTTCCTTTATTAAACGAGACATGTTTTGCAGAGGTAGCAATTGTGGAGCGGAACCATGACAGTAAAATAACTAGAAGAATAAGGATGGGTGGATCACATTCGGCAAGCATTCTCAAATCATGAATGATAAGCTGTCACTAACCCTCAAGAGAAAGGTATATAACAGCTGCATCTTGACCGTACTTGCCTACAGAGCAGAAACCTGGAGGCTTACAAAGAGGGTTTAGCTTAAATTGAAGACTATGCAGCGAGTGATAGAAAGAAAAATGATAGGTGTAACCTTAAAACACAAGAAGTGAGCAGAGTGGGTCAGGGAACAAATCAGCGTATAGCATATCATAGTTGAAACGAAGAAGAAATGGACATGGGCTGGGCTCGTAGTACACAGGCAGGATAACTGCTGGTCATTAAGGCTAACTGACTGGATTCTTAGAAAAGGTTAAACGCATGAAGTGAAAACAGAAGGTTAGGTGGGCCAATGAGATTAAAAAGTTTGTACGTATAACGTGGCAGCAGAAAGCACAGGACCAAGTTGATCGGCCGATCATGGGAAAGGCCTTTGTCCTGCAGTGGGTGTAATCAGGCTGATGATTCGCCAAAAACAACCACCACAATGCTTACAAGCAGTGAGCCATAGTGTTAAAACGTATGTCAATATTTGTGCTTTGAAACATGTTTATTTACGTGACAGAGTTAACGCAATCAAAATGAGAAGTAATCAGTAATTTGCATTCGCTTGCATTTATTTCACTGCGAATCCATGACCATCATTCGTAGCTTGTTTAAAGGCTTTAGTTCAGCATCCGAAATCACATCTACTGAGAAATGCTGCTGTTCGGTTCTTTCCTCCTCTCGTAAATTGAGTTTGGTGTGCTTTTGGAAAATATTGTGATCAATGTAAACTAACTTCTGCAAGCAGCAACACAAACAAGGGGCTCCCTGTTTGATTTAACCGTTTTGTATATCAATGTGTTTGAAGTTCAAATTATTGAGAGATTATGCCCATAGAAATACATAGGGCAATGTGCTTTTAATTAACTGAGTTCAAGTAACGACTCTTTATTGTAATATTATTGTTCTGTGTAAAATACCTGACGCACGACAAGGCATTTTTAAAGGTATGTTAGTTTTTAACAGAACTATGAATGCACTCAGTAGGTATAATTAAAGTTGGCCAGTGTTTGTACATGTTGATAATTCGAATGTCTACTAACAGCTATTTCCTTGATATTGCTGTGAAATACGTAGCCAAAAGGACTAGTTTTGTATGATACCCATGTTAAGAGTGAGGCAGACAGGAAGTAGTGAAGAATAAAAATGTGAATTCAGCTTCTGCCGTTGTCTATCGTTTGAGCAGTGTTTTTGATGACCATGTACCATTGTCCAAAAAAAGCTTGTATTTATTCATCTGTCAATGCAAAGCATAAAAACTTTAAAAGGTCATTCAAAAAGCAAGGGCCATTTGGTTCCAAGCAAGTAAATAGTCATTAGCAAAAGTTTTTATTGGTAGACTTAGTTTAGCAAAAACCTACTTTACTTTTCTACAGAATCACTGCTAACTTCTTAGTACTTCTCGTACCGTCACAGTAGTTTCTTTAGTCAATCTGAATAAAAGATCGCCACTTGGTAGTTGAACCTGTTGCAAACGGGGATCTTGAATTTCTCACCGTCTTCAAATCGTACCCCGAGCCACTGTTTCTAGTGAAAGAAGAAGAAATAATCGCACGGTGCTGGCTCAGTACAGTAGGGCGAGCAATTAGTGTTCCCTACCAAAATATTTGATGTTTCCATTGGTTCAGATTGTGGTGCATGGATGCATGTTGTCATGTAGAAGGCAGATTCCGGATGAGAATTTGTGACGTCATCAATGTTTATCGTACTTATTACTGTGGTGAGTGTTTCACAGTATATGTCAGCTGTAAGTGTGGCCCACATTTTATGAAATTAAACACTAAAAATTCTCTTTATGACTTGGAAAATGGTAGCTATCATTTTCTAACTGGAGTAAGCTAATTGCTTGAATTATTTTCTGTTTTTGGGAAAAGGAGTGGCGGCACCACAGTGTTGTTTCTGCAATTGCGTACACTATGAAGCGTCATCACTTGTGCAACAGTGAGCAAAAGCAAATCATACCCGTTTTATTGGTAGCAGTCCAAAAACTCTCATCCACTTGATGTCCTTTGGTATTTGAGTTGGTCAATAAGCATTTTTAGAACCTAGCTTTGTGATATCTGGGCATATCAGCTAACATTGTGCAAATTGTAGTGAGGCCAACAAGGGGAACTGTGTCTTACAGACCACTAACTGTTAGTTCTCTATCTATTGCGATATCCTGTCTACTTGAACAGCTTGGTTGGTCTGGATGCTTAGCATGATGCTCCACTCCTTGTCGTACACATTTACGCAGCCATCTCGGAAGTCTCAACACTGTGTTTTGACACTTGTTTCACTCCTCACAGTTGGTCCATGAACTGTGCACAGCTCCTCGTAAATTGCAAAAGCTAGTGATTCTTCTGCAAGCAAAAATGTAAATACAGTGTGCACCCCAACACAGACGAAAGCAACAATATTTGCCAACATTGTTGTCTGCATTCCCTGTCAAGTAGATGACTACCGAGTAAAAAAAATCACTTCAGTACTTTCGTTGAGAAGTAGCAGATTGTGCTGTGCACATAACTCTTCAGTCTGACGTGCAAATACTGGAAGATTTGGAAATGGCCCTTACTTTGTGAATAAACATCATAGAAAATTTCTTTATGTAGATTTGACTGCAATGATTATTCACCGTTTATTTTTCTAACATTGCTACCGTGATTTCCAGCACTTTCCAGCTGTCTAGTTTTACTAGTGTTCCATATGTCCCTATTGCATTTCTTTTTTACAAATGAGTGCTTTTGAGAATACCAACAGGCATCCTCTATCTCATGTGTCAGCTGATCAACAGTAGGCAAGCACAATATTGGTAACACTATATCGAGAACAATGTTATATGCAGGGATACCTATAGCACAACAGGGTGGGGTCATTTCTTTTGATTCAACGTGATGCGCCCCTTGCCACTGTGTTGTCAGATATTATATTGCGACTCAGGCTAATCGTACTGACACTGCACTTTTTGAGGGCGTGTGTGGTGTTACGAGGCGCGACGCCAACACGGTACCGAAGGCGCCACTGCGCCGAAACTCGCCGCTGCCAAGGTCACTGGCTGTTTGATAGCATGTTTTTCTCTGCTCGCGACTGCTTCTGCGCATAGCTGATAGATGAGTTGAGGCAAGGTTTATGTAAAGCATATAAATAGAGACATTACATATTTAACCCAGGACCAGGTTAACTGGCGGAACATGGGAGAGGCCTTTGTCCTGCAGTGGACGTAGTCAGGCTGATGATGATGATGATGATGATTACATATTTGGCAATGGGGTCGACAGCTTAGGGACTTGAAGAGCCGAGATGTCTCCTCTCCGACGCACACGTCGGCTTCCCTGTGACGCATAGGTCGGCTGCTTTTATAGGCACCGGGTGGGCCTTTACGTTATCAACGTCCAATCAGAAGCGCCGCTGGCCGTGATGACAGATTCCTCCAGTTGGGAACCGCCGCTGGGTTGCATCCTGACTCTCAAATCTGGTGCCGCTGCGCTGGGTGTCATTCAAGGACGAGTGATGTTGCCACGCATTGCATAAGACTCGCCGGACTGGATGGCTCCGCTTGCTTCATCGCATCCGTGGGCTGAGGGAGCTTGTCGTGCGTTGCGTGAGACAGACCGGCGCCACCACTTGATGACATCGTTGAGTTGATGACGCCATTGACTGAGGCGGGCTCGCTCACTGGCCTTGACACAGATTGCCTTTGCAGAGGCACTGACGTTCCGTGTGGACTCCCAGGCGTAACAGCACCCCTGCCGCCAGACAATGCGCCGGAAAGACGAGTTGCTTCCACGTGGCTCGGATGTCGGGCACGCTCGTTCGCCAGGACCCTCCAGCTTCGCCTTCAGGGCCAGGGAAAAGATGTGGCTCCAGACTCAGTTCCGTGAACACATCCCATTCTTGAGGGCAGATCTCAGCTACACTGACTGGTCGCCAAAACTTGTTGATTGTTCTGCAACTTCTTAAGAACGGTTCAACAACGGACAACTGTCGACACAAGCAAGTGCCCTCAGTTACCGGACAGAACACCAGACAAAATATAGTACAACTCAGTCGTAAATGCTCGACATTACATCAAGAGGCACATGTAGGTCATAAGACTCTTAAATTGAGAACTCAAAATTTTTACACTACAACAACATAGGGAAAGAGAATGCAACATAAAGTTGGCCCCTTGAGATCACTCTGGACGAGAGCGCTCAGCTAAAGCCGTGATAAGGACAAAATTTTGCCCCGAATCGCCAGCGAGACCGAAAGGTGGAGAAGGTACCAACTAAAACGCACGGCTGAATGCGTCTGCATTAGCGTTTAGCTTTCATTTTTTGTAGGGAACATCAATGTTGTTCTGTAGGAGTATCATGCTCCACCTCAGTAACCGGCCACCTCTAGGCGACGTGTAATTTAACCAGATTAAAGGACAGTGGTTTGTTTCGACCACAAACCTCGAACCGGAGACATAACAGGCGAGCTTCTGAATGGCCCACACGAGGCAAGCGCATTCCTTTTCAGAGGCACTGTATGCCTCTTCCCTGCAGCTCAGTTTTCGACTTAAATACAAAACTGGCCTTTCGTTACCAGCACTGTCTTCCTGGCACAATATAGCTCCCATGCCGCGATCACTTGCGTCGCATTGAATGGCAAGTCCCTTAGAGAAATCGGGTGCCATGAGAACGAACTTTTCGCTTAGGGCCTGTTTCAGGTTGCAAAATGCATTCTCCTTCTCTGAGTCCCATACTACTTTAACCGGCTCAGACTTTTGAAGTGCGTCAGTTAGAGGGCTGGCAATGCTAGAGTAGTTTTGCACGTAATGCTGAGAGTATTTAGCTAGGCCCAAGAATGCCCTTATCTCAGATTTTGTGGTTGGTCGTGGATAGTTCACGACGACGGCTACCTTAATTTTTGAAAGTCTACGCCGGCCACGCCCTACAATGTGTCCCATGTAAGACACCTTGCGAAACCATAGATGACATTTAGTAGGTTTCACGGTAAGACCAGCTTCTTTCAACCTGTTCGGTATGACGCGTAAATGCTTGACATGCCCAGCTGTTTCAGAAGATGGCGACATCGTCAAGATACGGCAGAACGAACAAAGAGATGCCATTAAGAACGCGGTCCATTATGCCTGAAAAACAAAAAGGCGCAATTTTCAACCCGAAGCTCAGATTAAGTGGACGATGAATTCCGAATGGAAAAAACAAATGCGGAGTAGCGGCTAGCGCGCTCCGTAAGGGGGACTTGCCAATTCCCTCGCACGAGGTCTAACGTGGAAATATAGCTAGACTGTGAAACAGTTTCTACCCTCTCCTCTAGATTAGGTAGTGGGTAAGTTTGGTCTCAAGTTATGACGTTGAGACGCCGATAATCGATGCATGGCCTCCGATATTTTCCCGAACTTGAACTAATATTAGAGGGCATGTATAGTCACTCTTGCCCGTTACTATGACTCCTAACTCCAGCATTGAGTTGATCTCCTCTTTAAGTTGGCTCGATATCATGTGCAATCACCGTCATGTTTCCGGAAAGGTCTGAAAACACGTCTTTAAACTCGGACACAATCCTCCTTAAGTCCTCCTTCTGAACTTCACCTTACCTAGGCTTCAGCTTCAACTGCTCCAAGATTACATCTGATCCCCTTTCGATTACACCACCAGAAGTCAAAATTTCTGCTCCCTCTTCCTCTGAAGCACTCAAAAGCAGATTTACGACTTGACGTTGAACGTATGGTTTCACCAAGTTACTGTGGTAAATTTTGTTCAGTCGCATTCCTAAATTCGCTTCATAATATGTATCAGAAATCTTTGATTGCACTTTGGTGTGCCCTTCCCAATGAACATCAAGCTTGTTATTTTTGGACGGCCGCAGCAGCATTACCTGACGACCCACTTTAAAGGTGCGTTGGAGGGACATGACGAAGACCCTAATAGCGTTCGCAATGGTGTTCTCAAACTCCTGCCATACACAAACTCAGCAGGGCTAAACCAGTGCTCTCATGAAGAGCTGATCCTAAAGCGAACATAGCGGGAGGAATACACGCTTCCCAGTCGCATTTGCGCTCTTAACAGCACCAATACTGAGGCTCCATATCCCACGTGGCTT